CCAAGCACTTGGCACTTCAAAGAACTTTCTTCCAACAATTCAAAAAAATCTAAGCATTTCAAACCATCTCTCTTTGTTTACTTTTGAATGTATGCAACCGAATATTCCTTCTATGAATAAAGAAATCTCTTATCTTTGTTTTAAATGTTTTTTAATATTATTTTGTGTCAGATAATTTAATCTGTTGTGAACATTTCCTCTTCATGACAATTCGTTGAAACTAAGGAATTTATAAATTTCTGATTTATTTTCCTGAAACAAGCTACTGACACTATTTCCTGCGAGTAAATTCATAAATAAATTCCTTATCTTGTTTTGTTAAAATTGACTAATTGTTTCCCAGTCATTATCATTCTCTAATAACCTTCTTGTTGTAAGTAAATCAACTTTTCATTTTAAACGCTAAAATTCAAGCCACTCTGGTGGGTTACTGTTCAGATGGTTATGGTGAATGGTGATGTGTGCTATGAATGAAAGAGGAGATGATAGTAAGTAAAGATTATGAGGATAAGGAGGATAGTTAACGTTTGATCGAAGCAGTGTGTCTACGACAATAGCATTGATAAAAATCAAAACTGAGAACAAAAGTTTTTCTTTATTCTAACATAAACCTCTAAAATCTATCGGATTCCAATCAAATAAAAAGAAAATGATCTAACTTCTTTAAAAAGCAAACCAAATATTTCTAACAATTAACTTCAGAAGTTAACCCAAATCGTAGCAGGCAAAAACACGCTAACACCTAAATCCGTCTTAACCTTTTTATAATCTATCGCCCTATTTCTGCCATTCATAATGCAAAGCGCATACCGTCACTATTCAAAATGTATAAAATAAATATTTTCTATGTTACATTCGCCTCCAGTGAAGGACTCTTAGCCATTATATTCACTTTCAGTTCCAGGAAATTTCGACTTGGAAAGTTACAACTCGTTCTATCAATTCAAATTGATAGAACTTAAGTTTTCGTAAGAATGTAAGCAGTCCATATTCCAAGATGAAAAAAAAAACCTGACATCAGAAAAGTAATCATAAAATAAGAGAAGTTACAAGAATCGATGAGAAGGAAAGCCATTATAATTTTAAAGAGCTTTTACTCAGTGGTTTTGGGTAATTAAAGAATTTCAATTTCTTGTTGCTATTTCTATGTTTCGTGTTCTTTCTCTCCAATTAGCGCTAAATGTCATAAATGGAATATTCCTATAAAATATACAAATTAAATTGTGTAAATAATTGTCTATAATGAGATAATGGCAACTAAATTAATTTCATTTTCATTGGCTTTCGTCCGGACTTCATTCTTCTGTGTTTCAAAATCATTGATTGTTTTGATACCCTTTCCCGTTTTAATAGATAAAAAAGTACTTATGGTTGTTATTTTAATCAACAACGTTTATTTCTGAGAATAAGTGATAGCATTATTTCAGTAAAATGCGGTAACTCTTCAAAGGAACGAAATTGTTTATAGAAGAAATAATAAATTTTGTAAAAAAATAAAATATTTATGGAGGAATAACAAAGATTATCGAGGAATGAAAATGTTTACAGATAAACAAAAATTACGGACATTAAGTGGAAGATAAGTTTGAGTGCAATGTTATAGGCCCTGATCTGGCATCTCATCTACAGTCACTTTCTCACAGACGTAATGTGGCTTCCTTTGGTCTTTTCTACAATTATTTTCATGGCAATTGCTCTGACGAGCTATTTTCACTGGTTTCTAAACTGCATGAATTTAGACGTGCTACTAGGTTGGCATCTTGGTCCCACACTTTCACTGCCGAAACGGTTAAATGTATCCATCTCTTCTACTCCAACAGCTTCTTATCTCGCACTTCCCGACACTGGAACTCCCTTTTATTTACTTGCTTTCCTGATAGCTATAATCTTCAAATATTCAAATATAATGTCAGTCGGCATTTTCTGATGTCTTGATCTTGAAACCCGCCCTTCTCTTTTTTCTTTCCCTAAACACTCCTCTTTAATCTTGCTCTCACTCTCTGTAACACCTTGCATGCTAGGGGCACTCTCGCCTTTCTTTGCGTGATATACTTAAAAAAAATGAAAGAAAAATGTCTAGAGAAAAACAACAACGTTCCTAGAGGAATAGAATTGTTTACACAGAAATAACAAAGGCTATGAAGGAATTACAAATTTATGGAGGAATACAAATGTTTTGTTATGAATAACAAAGATCATAGAGGAATAAAATGTTTATGAAGAAATGAAAAAGTTTACGAAAGTATAAAATGTTTATGGAGGAATAAAAATATTTACGGACGATAAACAAAAGTTATGGAGGAATGAAAAGCTTATGGAGGATTCAAAATGTTTACAAAAAAACTAACAATGTTTATGGGGATGATAACAAAAGGACATAGATGAATAAAAATTTTAAAAGAAATGATAACAGCTTATGGAGGAGTGAAATGTTAATGGAGGAATATCAAATGTTTTGGAAGACAAACATGTTTATGAAAGAATAGAATATTGATGCGGGATAACAATTACACAGGACTAAAAAGCTTATAGACGAATAAAAATGTTTACAGATATATAGCAATGTTTATGCCGGAGTAAATTATTTATGGGGGAATAACTAAGGCAAAAGCGAAATAAAAATGAAATAATGACAAAGCTTATGAAGGAATTAAATATTTATGGTGAAATAAAGATGTCTATGGAGGAATAACAATGACTATGGAAGAATAAAATGTTTATGGAGGGCCACAAATTATTTATGAAATAATGGCATTAAGGATTAAAGAGTTTATAAAATTTGGAGGGCTAAAATGCATATGGAGGAATATCAAAGGTCATGGAAGAATAAAGGTTTTTTTTAAATAAAATAATTAAGTTTACGGAGGAATAAATTGCTAATGGAGAATTAAAAACCTCATGAATGAAAAAAAAATGTTCATAAAAATATACAGAATATCATGAAGGAATAAAAGATATGAGTTATAATGATGGTTATGAAGGCATAAAAATATTTCTAAAGAAATAATAATGTTTATGGAGAAATAAAATTATTTATGGAGAATTAAAAAGCTCATGGATGAAAAGAATGTTTTTCTGAAGAAATCACAATGTTTATGGAGGAATAAAATTGTTCATGGAGGAATAACAAATTATAAAATCTCATAAAACATGTTTTATTTTCTTTCTTCCAAAAATGAAATCGTCAAAAGAACTAAAAAATGATGCAGGTTTAGTGTCAAATGACATTGAAATAATTGGGAATCACCTCATCATCAAAGTTAAGAATTAATGATTTGGACTGTGTGCTCGGAAATGTGTTTCACTGTGTCATGCTAGACAATTTTATTGTCAGAATCAATCTTACATCATACTTATTATAAAACCCAGGTTGTGTGCGTGTGTGTGTCTGTTCGTTTATATATTGGATCAGATTTACTACATTTTTCAACCGATTTCAACAAAACTTCACAGGACTACGTAAAATTACCTTGCGGTGGTTCTGACAGTGCCAAAAATTAGAAAAACACAATTGTTTTTGCACGAAATTAATTTGAAAACATGATTAAGAGGCATCGCTGTTTCGAGAATGAAAGAGGGACAACTCATATCGAGTTATACTTATTATAAAAACCCAGGTTGTGTGTGTGTGCGTGTGTGTTCGTTTATATATGGGATCGGATTTCCTACATTTTTCAACCGATTTCAACAAAACTTCACTTTTTTTTTTTGGCAGGTAGTGTTTCTTATTGTCTTGCACACTTTTTTCTTTATTTTTACATTCAGAATGCTTTAAAAATTCCATTTACAAGACAATTGTTTATAATAAAATTCTATTCAATCGGTAGACTCATAACGATTGAAAACAATGTTTGAGTTTGGGTTTGACCAATTCGTAAAAAAAAAAAAATCTAATTAAGACATGCGTGTCCGTCAACCTTAAACAATAATCTTTGTCAATTTTATTTTTCAGTCTTTATGATGGTCGATACTTGATCTATCTCTTACTGTTACATCCTCGGGCAACACCGGGCTCTACTGCTAGTTATTTATAAGTCTACCATTCGTCCATGCGTCGAATATGGCTGCCACGCATGATCTGGTTCTCCTGTTGCATATTTAGAGATTCTTGATAAAATACAAAGACAAATCAGCAATGTTATTCGTCCTGTTCTGCTCAGGCATCCCGACTTCAATGACTTTCCCGCCGCCGTCCTAATGAGGCTTCCCTATACATTTTCTATAAATGTTTCATGGGAATTGTTCTTTACTCTAAAGTACTGATACTTTATGAATATACGCGCAGTATTAGATTGGCAACAAGATGCCAAAATTTTACAGCTGGAATAACTAGATGTAACCGTAAGTTCTTCACTAACTATCGCACTTCTCACCTGTGGAACTCTCCTCCGGCTCCATGCTTTACAGCCAAGTTTGATCTTCAAAATTTTAAATGCAAAATCAGTCGTTATCTTCTGTATTCTTGTTTTATTGTACTTTTTCCTTAATAACGTTTTCTTTTTTTTATTCTTTCCTATTCATTGTACCTTGTTTTCGTTGTAATGATTAAAAAACCTTGGTGACTATTTTGGGAACACAGCATAAAGTAAATGATTCGTGGTGTTGTGCCAAAATGAGCAAGATTTAGCAAATAACTAAACTTGTCATTATTATGTTGGAAAGGTTTCTTTCCTATTTCTTAATTATTATTTTTTGTTTTTGGCGGGTTGAAGCTTAGAATTGACAATACTATCAAACTGGCCAAATAAAGTGTGAATCCTTCAAAATATTTATAGACGAAAATGCAAATTATATAACAGATATGAGAAATTAATAACAAAATGAAAAAACACTTTTCGTTTGACAAATTTAGTTCTTTACGGCTAAAGTGATGTTTACGTTTATGTAAAACACACGAAGGAAAAGGAATGCTGAAATTTGAAACATTTAAATTTAATTGTTTTTTTAATACTTTGGGTGTATCGTTTACCCAATTTAATTTAGTTTCTTTTTGCTTTGGCTTACGGTCAAATCAAGTTTAAACACCAGTTTTCGTACGATCACCGAAGTTAAACAACGTCGATCCTGGTCACTACCTAGATGGGGGATCGCTTGGGAATATCATGTGCTGTAAGCTAGGATGTGCGGGTTGTGTAATGGATAACGATTTTGGAAATCAAATAACCGAGTTCCAATTCCACTTGAGTGCGTTATATGTTCTTCCCTTGAAAAAGATATAAATCCCCCTTTCTTCCCATCAGTTAAGGGTTAATTATTACGACTTGTGTCAGGAAATCTTTATATCCAAAAAAACATTCTTACAATCTAAAAATATTTTCTGGCTTTAAATAACCTGCAAAAGGTTGATAAACCGTAGCAAGAATTATCCATCAATTTTAGTTTTTGTTTATAGTTTATAATTAAACATCCGACATTATAATAATAGAAGATCCTGTTTATTGTGGACCATCTAATATTTTTCTGATATATAAAAAAGGTATATAATTTTCCCCCATATCAAAGTTAAATGTGCGCTGAGATTATTTAATTAATTAAAATGTGGTATATTCTACATAAGTGCCGTGTTCATACTGGGGTTCAAACCAGAGAGTCAACTACCTGCAGTTAAGTGCGACATTTAATTGGGACTCTTCTGACGACTGTAAATGTAAAAGAAAATGTGGACAGAGAGATAGTACGTATTATTTTGATGGGTTAGGCTTGTATGGACAAGCAAACCAGACAACTGATAGAAATAGACCAGACATCACTTTTTTTTTCTGTTTAGTTTTAACCATAGGTTGCCGTATGGACAAGACATGTCTTATTTACCCGCTACAAGATTTTTCAGTCCGTAGCTAATAGTATGCAAATACTCTAAGTTGATAACAAACCAAGAAGAATCCATTCTCCAATGTAAGTTTCCCAACATCTTTAGTAATAATTTATATACACTTTACGTATGAATAACGGTTTCATTATATTCACAATTTTATTATTTTAATCATTTCACCAAAGAAAGGCGATAACGAAACCCAATCCTAAACAGGAAACAAGGGATAAACCTCTACTCCTGTTCAAAAGACCAGGAAGAATTGAGTACCGGGCGATAGGCGAACTTATCTACTCCGATTGTTTACTATTTTCTATATTCCCAGTTTTAATTTTACTCAGGCAATAAAATGTTATTATTATATGTACAATATTGTTTGAAATTTCACTCGAAAATGTGACTTGACCCAAAGGGTTATCACTTCATTACCTGACCGCGTCAGAGGGAACAAAAACTTGGAGCGGTGAGTTATCAAGGAGAATTAACTCAAACTGAGATATCCAAAGACATGGCAAGTGGAATTAGAACAATCGTTGATTAAATAAAGAGTTCGGTTTGAAATTCCAACAAATATCACCTGAAGTAGGCCGGAGCGTAAAACGGCTGAAACGTCGTAAATATGGCAATAAATGTTGAGGACAACAGTCTGAACAATGTAAATAGTGTAAATAGTTACACTACCACATCTGAGAAATATACAAAGATGTAATATAATTCCTATATGACTTGGTTCTCACATAATCATCTATATCTCTCACGAAATATATCAGAGAAACCCGGAAATTCGCTGACTGGTCACGCATCGTATAGCCTCTGACATGTTTGCTTGTCGTGACTACTGGCAGATCTGTAATAGTGTGTTAAATAAGGATAAGTCATCTATCCGTCCTCTCTTTACTCAATTTGAGGTGTTAGAGGCATCTGCTGATAAAGCAGAATATTTTGCTTATAAATTCTCTTCTAATTCTACTCTGGAATATCTTTGCTTGTCTTTCCAATTAGAACTTAGTTTCTACTTTATCATTAGCATATAACTCCGCCCATAATTTCTTCTATCATATCAAAACTTGATCCCCATAAAGCATGCGACCTTGATGGTATCTCTGTAATATACCTAAAGAAATGTGCTAGTTAAACGGCCCATATTCTCTCTGCTGCTACTGCTTCCATGAAAGCGTTGAACCCACGGGATCCATCTGAGCGACTGTGCGGAAGACGTTCGGCTGGCTGGACTTCCGACGCAGATCCTCATTGGACACAATATCACCAAACTCTACAATAAATGCTTTGCCTCTTCTTGCTTCCGAACTTGTTCTATCGTTCCTTTTTTTAAGAACTCATGTAAATCGTCTGATCCTTCTAACTATCACACTATTACTTCTACCCCTTTTAGCAATGTCTTAGAGATTTGTCGTGCATTTGAATCAACCTACAACAAAGAAAAAGGCAGAAAATGTGTTTAAATATAAAAACATAGCATTTTTTTTAGGTCGCGTTTTTTACAACTAAATTCAAATTAGCATGTATGAATGTTTAAGTTCTTACAGTCCATGTGTGTAGTTGCTTGTTAAAATGAAAAAAATTCTTCGCGTGTATGTGTGCGAAAGAAGAGGTAAGGGAGAAAGTGTAAGTGTCACCTAGCTTGCTGAGGAAGACTGGTGAATCAATAACGGGGATTAATTTTAAGCCAAACTGCTGCTGTCTGATTCTCCTGGTTGCTTTTTTCGTCTAGAAACTTTGCTTAAATACCCTTCAAAGGGATCACGAATCATGTTTTATTGCTGAAAGGAACGCGACCCATTGGTTGAAAAATCTTAAATATTTATTTTCAAAGTAGTAATTTATTAAGAGGAAGAATACGCTATAATCTAATTCAGAAACCATTTGATGTTTGACTGTCTTTGACTTTATTTCCGTCTTCGCGCTACAGGCTTTTACCAACTATGAGTCGGTTAAGCACCAAACCCCACAGAATCTTCATAGTTAAAGTAAAGAAAATAAAAAGTCAAATCGTCACCTTGTATATAATTTGTTGTACTTATGTGTTTATACATGTTTATGTAGTTTCGTTGTCTTCTATTGATGTCTATACAAGCGAATAACAATATACAGGGTGTCCATAAAGTTCGTGTGCACTTAAAAATTATAACTTTATTTGTATTTGCGATAGAAATAATCTGTAAAAAATGTTATAAAGTTTAATTTTAGATCTGGTTAGAAAAGTTCAAATTACAGTTTATAAACACGCATCATCGACAGTCTTTCTCGATGTATCATTTCTGATCTGAAATGTAACCTAAAGTAAACAATGACAACATAGTATATGAAATGGATTAAATCCGACAAATAGTTTAATATATTTTCATTTCATACGTTACTTTTTATGGATACAACATATTTATGTAAATGCTGTTTTTTAATTAACTCATGCAGGGTAAATGTAATTAATACTGTTTAATTAAAAACATACCATTTACTCAAATAACTTGTATCCTTAAAAATAACGTATGAACAGAAAATATATTAAAATATTTGTCAGATTTAATCCATTTCATATAATATATATATATATATATATATATATATATATATATATATATATATATATATATATATATGTATAAAGATCAGTAAATCTATAGTTTGACATGTGCTCATAACTTATATAGGGTGTCCATAAAGTTCGTGTGCACTTTAAAAAATTTATAACTTTATTTGTATTTGCGATAGAAATAATTTGTAAAAAGGATTAGAAAGAAGTAAATCTATATTTTTTTAATTTTTGTTGAAATTTTAAGTTTCCACATGTCCTTCATCATTAGCAATACAAAGGGTAATACGATTTTGCAGTTCACGGAAAACATTTGCCAACTGATTTACAGTAATGCCTGAAGTGATTAGTTACTTTAGCTATACTTAAAACTAGGTACATTAAACTTTATAACATTTTTTACAGATTATTTCTATCGCAAATACAAATAAAGTTATATTTTTTTAAAGTACATACGAACTTTATGGACACCCTGTATTTGTTTTAATTTTGAAATTGCTTATGAATGAATTGACAGTTGTTGGGATTATCAACAGGTTACGATGTGTTTGCTCTTGTTTAATCCATCGGGCTTATTACTTTATGTATATCTTAAGTAAGACAAAGACAAAGAGGATTAAGATAGTGTACTGATTACCCCAGTGGACAGTGGAAACATCCATCTAGTTTTGGAAATCTCTTATTGGGGATCTCGCCAAGGCTTTGACACAGGAAATCAAGCCGGATGATCGATCGATTATCTGTAGATTGGTGCAGGTGTGGACTTCTGCTGATTGTAAATGTGGGACAACAGAGACACAAAGATAGTTGGTGTATTAGCTATAGGCGTTATTTTTATTATTTATGGGTGGTATGGACTTGGCAATTAGAAGACGGGTTATAACAGACCCTCGTTTTTTTCTCTCTTTTTACCGGATTCCGTGGGGACGAGACGTGTTACGTCGCCACTCAAGAAGACATCTGAGTATCCATTGATAGAACCACATCTTGATCTCTTTAAATCTATTATTCATTTGCTACGAAATTGTTCAGCTTTCACTGCCATCTAGGATGGCTTAACATCACATAGCAGTACAGCATTCTTTTCTTTATATGTTATTTTCTGATCTCTTAATTCTTGACTCATATTCCGAAAAATGTCTTTCGCAAATCAATCAAACCAATCAGCCATAATCTGATGCGGTGACACTTACATGATAAACATATTAAGTAAACTAACACGTTTATTGACTGCTGATTCTCTAAGCGTAGCTTAGATGTGACACAGAGGCCGAAAGTATGGGGCACCCAGTGAGGATCAAACTTACTATTCAGTCGTAAGTGATCTAACGGAATAATTACACTACCCTCGGAATGTCCCAACACGTTTATTGACTGTTGATTCTCTAAACGTAGCTTAGATGTGACACAGAGGCCGAAAGTATGGGACACCCAGTGAGGATCAAACTCACTATTCACTCTTAAGTGATCTAACAGGACAATTACACCACGTTGAAGTGTTCCAACCAGTTTATTGACTGTTCAAGAAGCAGTAGACTTTTGACACTTTTTGACTGATATTTTTATCCATTAATGTCCACCATCCAAAAAATTATTTTAAAAAAGTGCACCAACAAGAAAATATGACTGATATTACGGATTAAGAAATTAAAAATAAAGATTAAACAAAAGAATGTAGTTGAATAGGTTGTTTTCCTTATGCACGTCGGTGGTCACCAAAATGTTGTGGGTGGGGGATTCACTCAAATCCT